AAGTGCTTTAAAAAAAAATCATTAAATAATATTTTAAATATTGCAGAGCGTATATTTCATCTAAGATTTACCGAGAAATTAAGTTGAGAAGTGGAGTAATTAATGATAGACAATTGGTTGTACTACCACAAGAAACAGTTCATTCAACAGTGCAAGATATTTGGAATTTATCATTAGAACAGGTTGAACTTATTATTACTATTTTTAATAAATGTTATTCTTGCAAAATTTAAAATTAAAATTTATTTTATTAGGGAAATATTGGAACTTTAATTGTAACAAATATACGATTAGTATGGTTTGCTGATATGAATTATCAATTCAATATATCAATTCCTTATCTTATAATAGCAAATGTAAGTAAATATATAATAGATTGTATGTATGTAAGTATACTGAAAACTTGTAACAAAGAATGTAATGAAAACAAAATTTGTTTTAAATAGATTACTATTAAGGATTCAAAATTTGGCCCATCTTTAGTTATTGCAAGTACAGAAACTAGTGGAGGTTATATATTAGGATTTCGAGTTAATCCTATTCAAAAACTTCATACCCTTTATAAGGAAATATTAATGATACTGAAAACATTCGAAAAATGTCCCGTCTTTGGTATAGATTATACATTTGAACACCAGGTAATATATCAATATTATTAAAAAAAATTTATTGAATAAATAAATACCTTACATTGTTATTGATTATCCATTAATTATTATAGGCTGCATTACAACAAGAATCAAATGTGGAACAACATTCTGAGATCCAAGACAATCAAATTGAAATTTCAAATGTGTTTGGTTACTACTTTTCTGAAGGATCAAATCAAAGAAAACCTAGTTTATCAACTTACTTAGGTGTTGCAGCAGAAAAACCTCGAGAAACTAGTACACTGCCAAGTTTATGGGAACTTGTGTCTCAGTCTTAACTAATATATCGGTAAACTTTAATAATCACCTAAAGGTCATTCTTTATGCGTAAAATTTGATAAATAATCGATGCACATATTAATATTTGAATTAAAAACGTTATTGCATATTACATAAAATTTAATTGAAACTAATATTTTAATAGAAACAAAACAATCATGGTGGTAAAATATATTACTCACTATGTGACATATTATTAATTGCATTTTGTCAAATGTTTTAACGTAACTATTGTCGTCCTTTAACATATCAACATTCTAAATATTCATTACCATTTGGTTTTTACATAAAAAAGTTAATGACAAGATTTCCATAACTATTTAATACAGCTATTTCTTTTCTCTTTGCAACACTTATAGTATTAACACTTTACTAAATATTGTTTAGTATTTTATTTATGGAATTATCAACATCTATAAGGAATTGATAAAAAAATAGATAATTGGAATTAAAACAATAATAATCTACAATATAACACTGAATAAGTCTTTAGTTATTAATTGTAATTTCATACCACTTTTCAGATTTTGTTTAATTTAACTTGGTCTACAATTCAAAGGTTGCACATATGATTGATCTTCATTATCATCACCATCTTCGTTTAGTTCAGCTTGTTGAACAGGAAATCGATATCCCATATTCATTAAAGTCACTTCAAATGGATCGCTATTCATACGAATTTGATTTGCGGATGCAGCATCTTCTAAGTTTAGAATTTCCCTTTCATTTACGCTACCATCCTATACAAAATAAATATTAACTTTTAAAATTAATCAAATCTATTTTTGAATTCTATTTGTAACATGACAATAAATGTCAAAGAATAATAGGATTATATTTATTCTGCATAATTTTCTGAATGATTATATTATCGATAAAAACCTTAAGAACAGGCGGTTACGACTACATTTTTGCATTTATCTGTATTTATTACAAAATTCCCAAGAAAACAAATCTTTTTTTTCAATAACTTATAAAATTATAAAATAATTCCTACCATTGTCCTTTGATTCTTTTCATAATAGAATATTACTAAATATTACTAATTTATAAGTAAATAATTATAGAACATACTTCGGGTAAAGGACTCCATAATCTAACTACTGGATCAATACCACTAGTAGCTAATAAACATGTAGATGGATGAGGTTGAAGACAGTTTACAATGCGTTCATCTCCTCTTAGTACGCGTATAATATTTGTGGTACTACGATCCCAAATGAAAAAGGAACCATCATCTGATCCTGCCACAATATATTGACCATTGCTTAAAAAAAGGTGACAATTATAAATGTATTGTTAATGAATAAACTTTCAAAATGATTTATGCTTTATTTTCAAAATATACGTACTTCCCAAAGAAATTAGCTTCTTTTATATCAGTTGTAGTATTACAATGTCCACAAAACCTCATTTTATAATCAATTGTATTGCGTCGCCATTCACGCTCATACTTTGATATTAGTATCATTGGCTCATGGTTATCTCTACCTAATTGTAAAATTAATCATTAGCGTGCGTATGCGTACATGCGCACGTGCGTTTATAACAATATCAATTTTTAAATACAATATAACAAAGAAAGATATACCAGAATCTACAGCTTCTTTTATATCCATCCTTAATGCTTTACATGCAGAGTTAGATGCATATTCAGGAAATTTCTGTTGAAAGTCTTTAATTACTGTATCAGCTTCGGTTGACTGATGTAAATCAAAGAGACAACGAGCCAATCTACAAATATATGAATATTATATAAATATATGATTAATTAAATGTGTTATAATGTTTACAAGTTACTAATACCTAAAATGAGCTTTTATATGTCCTGGATCAAGGAGTAATGCTGTTTGACAATCTTTAAGAGCGGCATATATATCACCATCCCTATAAATGACATGGAATTATACTACATTCAAAATTTATACAGAGAAAATAAAAAAATTAAGTATACATTTTCAAAAATTTGTAATTTTTGAAAATAATGAATGCCTTTTAAAGCTAAATTTCTTTGAACATTTTTTTTGTTTTATTTTCCCCATGTTTTATAATATTTCAAATTTTAAAATAGAATAATTAAAAACTCATACCAAGTTCGCTTCATATATGCTGCAGCCCTGTTAGCAAACAGCACAGCTGCAGTAGGACAATAACTGATTGCTTTATTGTATAAATTAATTGCCAAAGTATATTTTTGTTGCCCAAAGCTTTCATTAGCCTAGAAGAACATAATAACAAGAAAGATAGAAACATAAATGGTTTACTTATTTACTTATAACAGAATATTATGCAATGAAGCCAAGCAAATTTAGTGTTAAATAATTACAAAAATTAGTTGTTTATAATAATAATGACTTTACTATATAAACAGTAGTACAATCAAAAAATGTCCAACTTTTACATTGCTATTATTATGAAATAAAATTTGCAAAAAGCGGTGTATAACGTAAACTTACTTGACGTTTTAATTCTTCAACATGTGGTGGCAATATTTTAACATTTTTTTTAGTAAAATCTGTATTATCTTCAGCATTCTTTTCCACATAGGACTTTCCATAATCCCCTATATTAGTGAA